TATTTCAAATAATCAGATTGGAGATATAGGAGCAACAGCTCTGGCAAAGGTTTTGGAATCAAATTCTTCTCTGGATTGGTTGGATATTTCAAATAATCAGATTGGGGATATAGGAGAAATAGCTTTGGCAAAGGCTCTGGAATCAAATTCTATTTGTGAAATATTTGGGTTAACTATACAAGTATAGCATGTTACTGACTTTTCACACAACAAAGAATGGTGATGACTTATTATAGCACCTTTTTAAGTTCAACAATTTCATTTGAGCCACTTAGCTCATAGTTCTTATTATTATATTACTTTATTGCTGTAGAAAAGCTTTCAAGGTTATCCCAATTTTATTAATATCAAACTTCATAATCATTTTTTATTACATCAGCTAAAAATTTTTTTCTGCCCTGTGAATTTTGATCATATGCCTGCTTGTGTATCTAACTGTATAGCTTACAAATTTTATATTTATATTGTATTTCAAGATGAGGCAATTTTTATCGCAGTAACACATACAGACGATTACACTCTTTATTTTTGATTGTACACCTATAGTATCAATAAAGGATAAACTATTTGTTTTACTTTTTATAACAAAATTATTTCGACTATTATCATGTTGTTATCAACAATTAATACAAATACCGTACAGTTTGGGCTACAAATGCTGTTCACTCGTTTAAAGGTACATTTTCTGGTAGAACACTTTTACAGCTATCAGTATGGGCATTTTATTACAACACTGTCAGGTAGGAGCCATGCATTGTATAATTTACAATAATACGACTTAACGATCTGTCTTGTATTTTGTCTAACGCATTTACAATTGACGCTAACGAATATTTTTAGGTAGACCTAAGCCAAATCAATCATATCTTCATCTCTTAGAGATTTATCGGACAATTGATCAACTTGGATTATGCAAATAGCGCGGATATTTACAATTTTATTGGTTGAAACAGATCATTCCAGTATAATGTATGCGAGAGAAGGCGTGTACTTTGATAATATAATTGCGCGTCTTATTGATAAACATGTTAACACGTCAAAACCGAAGGCGTTAAAATAAGCGGAGAAGGCTTTACCAGCGAGTTGTCGTATTTGGTCTTACTCTAAAACTTCCCCACTTTTCAGAAATGTATTTTTATTTCACCTCTTCTTTACTTAAGTAGACATGTTAAAAACTGGCCTTAGCATGTATTGGTATATCTAGTTTAGAAAAAAATCTTTTATTGAAAAATAAAGACCGTATATGTTACTGTAATAAAAATACTTTGTAATTGTCCCATCTTGAAATGGGCTAGCCCATTTTAGGAATCCTAGAATATTAATACGCTTATAGACTGTTTTCATTCAGTATATTCTCAACTTAATTATAAAACGCGGGTTTTTACCTAAACGTTTTAAGAATTGTAACACTCTGCAAGTTCTCGATTTGTGTATTGCTTAGAAAAGAAGTTAGCCGTATGTTTAAGAAGGTGTAGAGCAGAGTTGTAAATTGCATAAAAAAACCGTGGTTCAAACCAATTAGTTTAGCGCGACATAAAACCATAAACTTGGACTTGACAATACAATGATGATGCATTAGAACAAAAATTTTCAATTAACCCACCGTAAGCAATTTTTTTTATTGCCTGGATGATTAGCTGGCTTCTTCCTCAGAATGCCACAACGCCGATGGTTAACGTTATCATAGTACAAAGATTCCAACACTGCAGTTGCGCAATTATCCGCGCGGTAGTTGACAAAATAGTGACAAAATAAACGATAGCAACAAAATATGTAATTTTTTACCAGCAAACAACATTAAATTCTCAGCTAAGTCAGGATTCCGATCATGAATCTTACAGTCCTTCAATTTGCACCAATTTCTATTAGACCAGTCACGTATAATACAAAAGCAAAGCAAATACCACGTATTCGTATAATACTTGGTTATTGATTGTGTGTCCAAGCCGTAGATCCATATCAGTAGGGTTGTCCATCAATCACGGAATTGGCAAATACAATTGCTAATCACGTACGTAATTACTATAAACTCAATCTCCGACAAGTTTAATTTTTCGCAATATACGGGTGGCTTTTGTAACTTAATTTTCAAAGCAGCATTTCAAGTACCATCTTCGGCCGACTTGCCACAAATAATTCCTTAACTTATTTTAGCAACTTGGACAAAGCAAATTTCAATCTGCATCAGAACCAATGGGTATGTTGATATTATCGCCGAGTGTTGTTTGTACGCCAACTGCGGTCTTTATAACAAAAAAAATATTTCTATGCGTTATTAACATGCACTACAAAAACAGCCGTACATAAATGTAGAATGTGTTTGGAATATTCATAGACAGTAAAAAACTTATTTTTAGTTAACATACATATCTATCATTCATAATTCTATAACTAGTGTAGTATTGAAGTCCGGTCAACGGGCAGGTTATAATAAATATAAGGTACAGTTAATATAGTAATATGTTAAGTAATGTGCAGTAATTAGTTTTATTTTCGATATGCGAGTTAGGGTTATTGAAGTTGTTGAGCAACACGTTGTAGTCTTTCATATTCTTTTACTACATTTGAATCGGTTATGAAAGCAGTTCTGTCTAATGCACTGATGTTGAGGTTAACCAAGTCAGACACCTGCTAATTGCCCTGAAACATAAAAGTAAGAGGTGTGTTGTTGTATCCAACAGTGGACTATTGCATTCTGTACACAGAATGCCACTTGGAAGAGTGTAAATCTTTATCAAAATCAATGATAATGCCAATAGTTCCATTGCAAATACCTTTTTCCTACAAACGAAAAATCTAAGACGTCACAATACATAATCTTTTCGTGAATGGTTAATATGCCTGTAAATTGAATGATGGCGTTTTTTGGGGCAACCTAGATAATCGATTATAGTTTTTTTCCTTCCTTAGATATTTTGTTACACTTTACAGTTATACAAACTCCCATTGTTGTTGCAGACGGACAGGCGAATCAATGTTAGGGTTGAATTATACTCAATAGTTGAGCTTTTGTTGTGTGCTAGCAGGTGTGTTGGGAGATGTGTGCATTTGGAAATGAGATGTGTGTGTTTGGAGGTGTCGTGTGTGCAGAAAATGCTGCATTCATTAAAGGGGTTTGTGACAGTCTTGTCGCCCTTGTGTTGTGATGCAGATATTCTAAAGACCGTTGTTGGCGGCGAGGCTGGGCAATTTGTTGGTTGGGAGGGTTAAGTGATTATTATTTTGAGTCTGTATATGATATTTGTGAGTTTGTTGATTTTTATATTTACAGTAATAAAGATAACAAATTTTTTACCTAATGAATTTGTAAATAGGTAGTGATTATATGATCTACTTGTTGACAACATTGTTTGTCCGTTGTTTTAGTTGCATAGTATTATTTCAGTTGGGGGATGTGGTTTTACTTATCGAACGTTTCTTTCATCTGTTTGGTAGCATCAGTAGTTTGGTTTGGATCTGTTAGAAGGAAGTAGTTCATCAGGGTTTCATTATGGGTAAGAGTTTCGATAAACTTCACAATGACCGGATTTCGTCATTTTGAAGGATAATACTTCAAAAGATTATCTAAACCAAATCGTTCATGGCTTTTCATCATACTTATTAAATCATTGAACAAATTACCTCGTTCTCTCTCAGCGATTTCTGTCACAGATCTAATACGACCTTGTTGGTCATTTGCTGCATTCTCAGATAATAATTGTCAATTAACATCTTCTAGTTCTTTATCTGCTTCATAAAAATTTCGTATGCTGGATCCAGCAAAGATAGATACTTGCACTCCGAAATCAGAAAAAGTTTTTTCGAATGCTAGCAAATCATTATTGCTAGAGAGTCTCGGTCTTTTTCTCTGAATCTAAAGAGATTGAGTCACTTGTTTCAGTAACCGATTCTGGTGATCTTGGGTAGTTGTAAGAAAACGGATAAAATGATATGGCATTTTTCATACCAGGCAGGAATTGTAAGTTCCATTGAATACTGTGTTGCTGGCATAGGTCCAGTGGCGACAATAAGGGCTGCTTAGTTTGTCGCCGGATGCCATTGCGGCAGCTGGGATGTCGTTAAAACCAGCGTCGTTCCATACTATAATTAATGCTGGACCTTCTTCATCTTCGTTTGGGCATTTTCTCATAGCCCGAAGGACTAGTCGGGCTGTTTGTTCGTCGTGGAGAGCGGTTGCTGCGTAATTTGAAAGATGCTTTAAACATCTATATAGGCAAAGGAAAATAATGGGTCGGTTAGTCACACCTATTATTATTATAGATAATGACACGTGATTTAGTGCTTATTTACCATTCTCCGTTCCCTTAATAACTTTTGTTATGTCAAAAACAGATTTTTGTAATTCAGAAGATAAGTATAATGATCAGAATAATGTTTTTCGCGTTCTAAACCGTCCAACAATCCATCCGATGCTGAAATGACTTTCCTCAGGAAATTGCTGAGCAAACCATTGATAATATTGTTGGCAACAATTGCACTAGTTACTCAATGACTCAAAGCATTATTGGTTTCGACAAATGATTCTTTCCTCTCCTTATTATTGCTGTCCAGTTTCGCCAAAGTGTCCCTTTAATTATTGAACAGTTGCCAAACAGTTAGGTTGATCCGTTTGTACAGACACAGTGCCTTTTGTCTTCAGAGAGATCGCAAGCATTAGTTTTTTGGCGAAATTGTAGGAGTAATTGACAAACTTTAGAAGCGCATTTTACAAATTAAACTAGAGTGAGAAGTAAATTTAAGAGGCTTCGCCTTTTCAGCACAACGATTACGTAAAAATATTGTAATAACTATATACGCAATACGGATTTGTATTGTAACTAGAGGAAATAGCAAAGCATGAAACGATTTTAAAAACAAAACAAGACATTCTATTTCTTCGTGTATCAACAAAAACAATCAAAGTGGTTATTTTGAAATACGGAATCTGGCCCGACTTTGACGATGTCTCTAATAAGCCACAAATCAATTAACTTCCCTGAGCTTGAGCTTGCAGTTAGGAGTGTTATCAGCGTCGAATCATTTTGGGTATGCCTAATTATAAATAAAAGGATATAATAATAAACGCAATTTAGATGGGTAAGTTATTAAAATCTTTTTCAAAGAAGCGCC